GGAGAAACAAACAAACAAACAAAATCAGAAGAAAGTAATAAAGAAGGATTAAAAAAAAATATCTGCAGATGAAAATAAAGGTAAGAGAAGAGAGAAGAAGGAAGGAATGATAGAAATAGTAAACAAATAGTATAGTGCCAACGAGTGCCACCCCATCACAAAAGTTTAAAGCATTCCAATCTATTCCTCCTATGGGTATCATTACACACACACACACACACACACACACACACACACACACATATATATTATATATGCATTACGGGATATTTCCATTTACATAAAAAACTGCTTTATGGAGGTGGTGGTGCTGGTGCTGGTGGTGGAGGTGGTGGAAGTGGTTGTGATGGTGGTGCAGGTGGTGGTGATGGAGGTGGTGGTGATGGTACATTCCAGATAGACAGGAATATTTTTTGTGTGCGTTTTGGCATTGAAAAAGGGGTTTCAAGTGAAATTTGTTGCATGCCTATGGTTGCAGTGATAAATAGGTTGCACAGGTAGGTTTATTTACGTAATTACCTTTAATGGACACCGTACAGTGGATCATGTAGTTAGCTGACAGCACAGCAAGCGAGTAGACTTTACAAAAAGAAACAAAAAAAAAAGAGATAGATATAGAGAGGTAGATAGATAGATAGAGATAGAGAGAGATAGAGATAGAGGATAGATAGATAGAGAGAGAGATAGAGAGAGAAAGAGATAGATAGATAGAGAGAGAGAGAGAGAGAGAGAGAGAGAGAGAGAGAGAGAGAGAGAGAGAGAGAGAGAGAGAGAGAGAGAGAGAGAGAGAGAGAGAGAGAGAGAGAAGAGAGAGAGAGAGAGAGAGAGAGGAGAGAGAGAGAGAGAGAGAGAGAGAGAGAGAGAGAAGAGAGAGAGAAGAAGGAGAGAGAGAGAGAGAGAGAGAGAGAGAGAGAGAGAGAGAGAGAGAGAGAGAGAGAGAGAGAGAGAGAGAGAGAGAGAGAGAGAGAGAGAGAGAGAGAGAGAGAGAGAGACGAGAGAGAGAGGAGAGAGAGAGAGAAAACAACACACATCAAGTCATTTAACCTTCATATCATTCTTAAATTACAAAAAAGAAAGAAAGAAAAGAAAAAAAGCGACAAAAGGTAATAGAACCCGTCGGGTATATTTTTTGTTACATTCCGCCCATCCTCACTGACTTTCAACAGCAGTGCCATAAGCGGATACACCACGAGTGGATACCTGGCTTTCGAGACTGACTTTGTTTACATTCTGCATACTCGGGGTCGCTTATACTACTAAGAAGCTAATAAATATAACTAGAGCGTATTCAAGGTGTCGTTACTTCACGCTTATCTTTACTTATAACCATACTTATAAAGGAGTAATTTTCCCTACTACTACTACTACCCGTTGTTTGTGAGATTTACAGTTAAAATAAGTACATTTCTTACCAGATAACGAAAGAAATAACCCCATTAAATATGAAAATAAGCGAACTCGCCAAAAATACAGCTTTCCTATTGGTTCATTCGACTCAAAACTGTCTCCTGATTGGTGCTTAATAGGGGTCGTTTAAACTACTAAGAAGCTAATAAATATAACTAAAGCGTATTCGAGATGTCATTACTTCCCACAGTCTTTAAGCTGTGAGAGATGTTCACACTTAAGCTTACTTATAACATACTTATAAAGACGTATCTTACCCCACTACTGTTACTACCAGTTGTTTGTGAGGTTTTACAGTTGTTAAGAAGGTATATTTCGTCTCATCTTAGAAGATGTTGGGCACAGGGTGAGGAGACGGGGGGGGGGGAGAAAAGCTATCGATGGAGGGTATGAAGAAAAAAAAAATATATATATATAGCTTGAGGTCATATCCATTCGGGAACGATGATACAGCTTAATATAGTCGTAATTCTATTGAACAATTATTCTGGTTATCTGAGCTACTTGTAAACATTGTAGTAAAATATAGGCTTTTAATATTATACTTTTTTAGAACGAAAAAAAAATAGAAGGGGGGGGGTAGTTAGGGGGGGAGTAAATCCTACATCAGGAGGAGGCAGTTACTACTCCCTACTCCCCCCCCCCCTCCCCTTCCCCCTCCCCAAAGCCCATGTAGGCCTACCACGAGCCCTTACCACAACTAAACAACGACAATGTTGAAACATGTTGCATACGTGTGTGACCTGCCGATAAACCTCTCGTTTCTGGGACGAAAGCGGCTTGTTAAACTTAAACCACGAAATAAACTAGTGTTTTGAGAGAGAGAGAGAGCACTCGACTGGGTGTGAAACATGCAGTGTGAGGTCCGTAGACTTTTACAGATTCCTTGTTTTTAATGAGGATGATGTAATATCTGCACTACTACTACTACTATTACTACTGTACTACTACTAACTGATACTACATACTACTACTACTACTACTAATTTTACTATTACTACTACTACTACTACTACTATTACTACTGCGACTACTACTACTGATACTACAACTACTACTACTACTATTTTACTATTACTACTACTTACTCTAC